TATGTGCGCTATAGACCTCTCCCGTGAACCATTTCTTTAGTGTGTGTGTGCGCTATAGACTTCTTCTGTGAACCATTTCTTTAGTGTGTGAGCGCTATAGACCTCTCCTGTGAACCATTTCTTTAGTGTGTGTGCGCTATAGACCTCTCCCGTGAAGTCCACTATCGTGACTATTAAAATCATTAATACGCTGTAGTATTAGTCCACTATCGTGACTATTAAAATAATTAATACACTGTAGTAGTAGTCCACTATCGTGACTATTAAAATCATTAATACGCTGCAGTAGTTGTCCACTATCGTGACTATATAATAATTATTCCTAATGTAATTAATGAGATCATTAATACTGTATAATAAGAACTCCAATTTTGATTAATAAAATCATGAATAGGATTAAATAATTTCTCGCTATCCGGATGTTTACAATTATTATTAATAGTCAGTTACTTTCCTGTCCGTTTACGTGCTTCGGTCGTTTGATATTTGAACGAGTAGCATGGTAACCATCTTCGTGAGTTTAAGTTAGGCCAGGTGTGACTAGTGATATACGTCTTTCACTTCAAACTTAAGAACGGCTGGGGTAGATATCCCTCAAGTATTCTTTAGGGGGAAATTCTAAATAGGAAAACGGAACACGTTGTGGGTCGTAGCACCGAACGCAATTTGAGGAGAAAAATCTCTATAAAGTCAAATTTTACATATTCTAAAAACAGGAATAGTGGGGGGGGGAGGATAATTTTTAGTTATAACATCTTTTTAACATGCACCTTGTAATGAAGGCAAACTGAATTTGTTCACCAGGAGGCAGTACTATCGCCTGAACGCTAAATAAGGCGTATGATATTCAATGGAAATCAATTATAAACTTATAAATATTCTCGATGGATTTTTTTTAAAAGCTAATTTAGATTATTTGTGTTAAAAGTTTCAAGCGCTGATAGAACACTATCGTTAAATTAATGTACTTTTACAGACCTATTAGTCATTGTAAATTTAATCCAAATATTATTTCTCCACCAGAAAAGAGGGAAAACCGATCGTTCAGTATGTCTCCGCTCGCTGCCGACACCGCTGCCGAATCAGTAGTTTCCGAGGCCGTGATAACTTCACCGTCGGCGCCGCCCGCACACCCTCGCGCTGACATTCGCCACGAGGATGACGAGATGGCGGTGACCAGTGGATCGCGAGACGAGAAGAACAAGAAGAATCGGCGGAAGAAGAAGACGAGGACAGTGTTCACGCGGAGTCAAGTATTCCAACTAGAATCAACCTTCGATATGAAGAGATATCTGTCCAGCTCGGAGCGAGCGGGACTGGCGGCTTGTCTCCACCTTACGGAGACGCAGGTGAAGATTTGGTTCCAGAATCGGAGGAACAAGTGGAAGAGGCAACTGGCCGCCGAGCTCGAGGCCGCCAACATGGCACGAGCCGCGGTAGCAGCCCAGAGAGTCGTTCGTGTGCCGATCCTGTATCACGATAACGGCACCTCCGCCAACGGCTCCCATTCTCCCGACACAACCACCCTACCACCGGCAAGCCTGGCCACCTGCACCTCCTTGTATTTCCATCCCCCCTACAACTACAGTCAAGCAACCATGCGCCCCCTGCCATCCTTGGTGTGAGTTATGAGTTTAAGTCTTGATAGATGTAATAAATAAGTCCGCGAGAAAGAAAACAGAGGGACAAAGATAAGTGAATAAGAAAGTGAAAACTAGAAGTTAAAAATGACACTTAATGATGACGTCATTATAAAAGTTTTAGAACTAGTCGTGTACGTTGATTGGTGGAAGATTATATGATGTGCTGTTCGACAGACTGATAACTGTTCCGTTTTAAATTAACAAGATGTTTGTGCTAATGTTTGTGTTGATGTGTGCGTTCTAGTGTCTCGCTCTCCGACATTCAGTTCTTTGTGAGGGTTATTTAAGCTAGGCCTAATTGTAATAAAAAGCAGTGTATTAATTGTAAATAAAAATCTTGGATCAGAACTAACCTGTACTTGTAGTTTTTTAGGAAATACACATTTGGTTTCACGAGAACGGGATACGATCGTAACAAACAAGTAAACAATGCACCATCAACGAAATCTTTAATGTACAAACATTCATTCTATAGCGCACACACACTGAAGAAATTGTTCACAGGAGAGGTCTATAGCGCACACACACTGAAGAAATGGTTCACAGGAGAGGTCTATAGCGCACACACACACTAAAGAAATGGTTCACAGGAGAGGTCTATAGCTAATACTACAGCGTATTAATGATTTTAATAGTCACGATAGTGGACGACTACTACTGCAGTGTATTAATTATTTTAATAGTCACGATAGTGGACTACTACTGCAGCGTATTAATGATTTTAATAGTGACGATAGTGGACTACTACTACTGCAGTGTATTAATGATTTTAATAGTGACGATAGTGGACTACTACTACTGCAGTGTATTAATGATTTTAATAGTGACGATAGTGGAC